ACATAAGGAAACAAATACAACCATCAGAACAAGAAGAAGAAAAGAATCCAAAAATATAAGGATAGTGTGAGGAGACTCTGGGACAACTTTAAAAGTTCCAACACTCACATCATTGGGGTGACAGAAGGAGAAGAGAAAGAGCAAGAAATTGGAAATCTGTTTGGAAAAATAATAAAGAAAAACTTCCCTAATTTGGTGATGGAAATAGACATGCAAGTTCAGGAAGCACAGAGTCCCAAACAAAATGGATACAAAGAGGCCGACTCCAAGACACATCATTAAAATGCCCAAGGTTAAAGATAGAGGATCTTAAAAGCAGTAAGAGAAAAGATACTAGTTTCCTACAGGGGAGTTCCCGTAAGACTGTCAGCTGATTTCTCAAAAGAAACATTGCAGTCTAGAAGGGATTGGCAAGAAATATTCAGTCATGAAAAGTAGGGACCTACAGTCATGATTGCTCTGCCCAGCAAAGATATCATTTAAAATCTAAGGGCAGATAAACAGTGTTCCAGACAAGAAAAAACTAAAGGAATTCATCATCACCAAACCATTATCATATGAAATGTTGAAGGGGCTTATTTAACAAAAAAAAGGTCAAAACTATGAACAATAAAATTGTGACAAATATATATGTATCAACAACTGAATCTAAAAAACAAACTAAGCAAACAAGAACACAGACAGAATCATGGGTACGGAGAGCATTTTGATGATTGCCAGATGGGAAGAAGGTGTGGGAGAATTGGTGAACAGGTGAAGGGATTAAGAAGTACAAATAGGTGGTTACAGAAAAGCCATGGGGCTGTAAAGTACAGTATAGGAAATGGAGTAGCCAAACAACTTACACTGATGACCCATGGACATAAACAATGGTGTGAGGATTGCTTGAGGGAGTGGGGGGTGCTGGGTGGAAAGGGACAAAGGGGGAAAATTTGGGAAAACTGTCACGGGGTAATCAATAAAATATAATTTTTTTTAAAAAGGTATATAACATGATTAGAGGAAGAGGTGACTGGCCAAATCGGGGTAGGGAATGTTTATGATTCTCTCTGCATAACCGCCTTGCTTTCTCTTACTATACACCTCGGTTGAAGAGAGGCCATGACAGTTTTACAGGACACATCCTCATATATTTCCCACTCTGATTGGCCCCACTTGATCACATGCCTCCTTTACTGACAGTTTTCACTAGAATCACCTGGTTTGGATCAGGAAACATTGTGTTGACCGAAGAGTTTGTTTAGTTTTTTCCGTATCATACCTCTAGTAGTGCTCAGTTGTCTTTAACTTCATTTGAAACAATTTTGTTAGATTGTATTATGACAGCTGTCATATCAGCATGCATTTAAAAATATATCAAAACTGGTAAATTTTTGTGCAGCCAATTTAATATTAAAGATGGAAGAAAATATGCAACATTTTTGGTGTATTATGCTTTATTATTTCAAGAAAGGTAAAAACACAAGTGAAATGCAAAAAAAAGATTTGTGCAGTGTCTGGAGAAGGTGCTGTGACTCATCAAATGTGTCAAAAGTGGCTTACAAAGTTCTTGTACTATTGACATTTTGGCCAAAGAATTCTTTGCTGTGGGGCTGTCTTATGCATTGGAAGATGTTTAGCAGCACCCCTGGCCTATAACCAATGGAAACCAATAGCAGGAGATAGCTGGCATACTCAAAATATGCAAATCAACAAAGTTATTGGTGAAAATAAAAAAATGTTCTTTTATGAAAAAAACCATATGGCCTTTTTGGCTAGCCCACTAGTAGTACTACAAAAGAAAAGGTTGCTATTTCCTGAAGAAATGTGAGAAGACAATGTAGCTGCCTAGAACAGGAAATGAGCTATCAGAGGTCCTACAGCAAGTTAGGGGCAGATTCAGGGTTAGAAATGGAATCAATAAAATAATAATTCTTTTTTTCTTTTTTAAAAATTTTTAAAATTAATTTTATTTAGTTATTTTTCAAGTACAGTTTTTTGTCTATTTCTCCTATCCCAGCACCACCACCCCCCCGTGCTCCCCACTTCCCTCCCATTTCCACCCCCCTTAGTTCTCATCCCTGTGTCCTTCCTATTTGTTCCTCCAAATCCCTCCCTTTTTTCCCCTTAAATTCCCTTCTCTCTCCCCTCTGGTCACTGTCCCCTTGTTCTCTATTTCAGTGTCTTTGTTTTTATTCTGCTTGTTTGTTTGTTTTGTTGTTTAGCTTCCTGTTAAAGATGAGATCATATGGTATTTGTCTTTCAACACCTGGCCTATTTCACTCAGAATGCTTTCCAGTTCCATCCATGTTGTTGCAAAGGGTAGTAGCTCCTTCTTTCTCTCTGCAGCATAGAATTCCATGGTGTATATGTACCACAGTTTTTTTATCCATTCATTTACCGATGGGCACCTAGGTTGCTTCCAACTCTTGGCTATTGTAAATTGTGCTGCTATGAACATTGTGGTGCATAGGTTCTTTGAAATTGATGTTTTAGGATTCTTAGGATATAATCCTAGCAGTGGAATTGCTGGGTCAAAAGGCAGGTCAATTTTTATTTTTCTGAGAAAATTCCATACTTTTTTCCATAATGGTTGTACCAGTCTGCAATCCCACCAACAGTGAACTTAGGACCCCTTTTCCCCACAACCTCTCCAACATTTGTAGAAAAATATGGAACGCTTCATGAATTTGCGTGTCATCCTTGCGCAGGGGCCATGCTAATCTTCTCTGTATCGTTCCAATTTTAGTATATGTGCTGCAGAAGCGAGCACAATAATTCTTAATAATAATGGAAATATCCAGATTCTTTTATGTGTGCTACTGAAGTTAAACCTCAGTGTTACTGAATTGTTGTTCGTTCATTTATATTTTTAAAAGACTGCTGATGTCTGGAGGATGGACTGTAGGGGAGCAAGCGCAGAGTAGGGGGTCTGGTTAGGAGCTGTGGTAGCTCTCTAGGGCAGAAACAGCAGTAGGTTGGACCAAGGTCAATAAAATGGAAATAGTGAAAAGCAGCCAGACTTGAGATCTATTTTAGAAGGAGAATCATAGGACCTGCTGCCGGATTATATGTAAACACTAAGAAAAAGAGAAAAATAAGGAATTAAGAATAACATGTAGGTTTCTGTGAACACTGAGGTTGAAGCAAATTTGGGACAGAATCAAGAGTACCAGTGTGGACATATTAAGTTAGAGACGTGGAGATCTCCAGTAGGCATTGTGTATGCGTGTTATTGCAAAAGACTTGGCATCTAAAATTTCAGGACCTGATGGGCTCTCCAAGGAAGAAAGTATCACTACAGCAGAGGTCCCAACTATTCTCAGAGCCATCTTTCCAAACATACACTGAATTTCTCCACTGGGCTTCCAGCCAGAAACTTCAGATGGGAATCATAACCATTATGGTGAATCCCACAGAATGAGAAGCCAGGTTCATCCCTCAGAGGGTGACTAAAAGGTAGCCAAATGGACTGTTAAACAAGAATCAAAACTTTTCTATCCAGATTATGTCTTATTTCCTTCAAAGTGGACCCTTCAAACAACTAAAGAAATGATGAGACTGCCCTGCTCTAAACCATTTTGACTTTTGTCTTTGGGAGGTATCTTCAGAGCCAGGTTCTAAGACCCAGGGAAATTTACTAGACTCAGCTTCAGATGACTATAGGGTTGCTTTCTTTGGTAGATTGAAAAAGTAGCCACAGTATTTTACAGCTCCTGCCATCAAAAGACGGCATCTATTTCTCCATCCCTTAAAATTGGGCTTGGTCATGTGACTTGTGTTCGTCAGTGAGACATTAGCAAACACATTACAAACAGAAGCTTGGAAGGTGCTTCTGCATTTTAGCTTGCCCTCTCTTGCTGCCCAGAAAACTTCCACCACGATGTGAACAAATCTGGGCAGCTTTCTGAAGGATGGGACCATGTGGACAGAGGCCTTGACCATCCTAGTCATCTCATCTGGGAACAAAGACATGTGAGTAAGGCCATTCTATACCATCCAGCCTCAGCAAGATCCACCCAGCTGACCCACAGAATCATGAATGATATTTGTTGTTTTAAGTCACTAAGTTTTAGGATGGTTTTCCATGTTTCCCAGAAGACTGTTAACTCCGAACCAGGCAGTCTAAACATGTTTCACAGTACAGATGTTTCTTCTCTCACCTTTATTCTTTCGGGAGGATTTATACTTAATCAGCCATCAAAAATTTAAACTAATAAAGGAAAGCTTAATTGAGGGATATAAAGCAATGGCCAGTGGGTAGTAGAGGTATTTGGATGCAGGGGAGTCTTCCTGGGCCCCCTGAAACAGCTCCACAAAGGTGGTTCAGGTTTCCCAGGTATGTGTTCTCACAGAATGATGTACTTTTCCTTCAGAGCATTATGTAAGTACATTGGTGTGGTTACTTTACAATGTCTAGACTAAACAACAAATTACTAGACCAGTGATTTTGAACATTTTTCATCTCATAAAACACATACACTAATTACTAAAATTCTGTGTTGCACAAAAAATAATCTTTTAGCCAATTTGACAAAAAATAGGTAATAAATAATTTTGATTCATTCATACTAGACAGCTATTGTTGTGTTGGCTATTGTCATTTTTTAAATCTGACAATATAAAGGAAAAGAGGTCAGTGCCCCTGACTAAATAGTCAAGTATTACATGTTTTAGACATTCTTGTGGTACACGGATTGAAAATTATTATACTAGACTATAACCTTCATGAAGGCAAGGACTATGTCTGATTTGCCACTGGTTGTATCCTGGCACAGAGTAGACACAAATCTGTTGAATGAATAAATTTGAGTTTTGCCTACTTCACATAAGGGATCCAAGCCTTCAAAAACATCACCTAACAGTATTTGTAACTCATGGGCCTGTCTCTTGCACATACTTTCAGTCACAGGCTGCTGTTGATTTACCAGCCATGCAGGTAATCTGGTATAGGTTTAGAAGGGGGAATCTAAGATCAGTGAGATCCCAGGACACTGATAGCTGTAATTCCTTCCCAATTATCCTGAACTCTTGGCAAATAAACATACATTCTTCAAGATGCTCTAGGAAACTTGATACCCAGGGAGAGCTTTGGGGCAGGAGCAGGGGATGTGACTGGAAGAGTATGGTCTGGAGGATATTCATCTTCTGTGGATGTTACAAGGCTGCAGTCAGAAAGCAATTGTGAAACCAATGTCTCACCGAGGTTATTTAATGAACTCTGACAGTCCTTGAGAGTGTGTCATTACCAGCACCCCATCTATCCTTCATCTGAGACAAACTGAAGAGGAACATTGAAAGAGCATGAGTCAGACAGGGGCAGGTTCAAATGATCCTAGTGGGTGACTTAGGCATGTTAACTTTTCCAAGGCTATGTTTCCTTGCCTGCCAAGTTGGCATAATGTCTCAGAAACACCTCTGTTCAACTATAGGAACTTTGCAGGCAGGGATCATTTGTCTTCATCTATATTTATCTAATATTTAATAGTGCCAGGCCCACAATAGATATATGCAGAAAAGGTAAATTTTTTAGCCAGAGGTGATCTAAGCCCTACTTCTGGCCCCATCGTAAATGTACTCTCAAAGTCCCCTTAGGACACTTCCTCCCTCTCCCTGCACCTCAGTCTTCCTTTTAATAAAACAAGGAGTGTGGGTAAGATTTTCTCTGAGCTTCCTTCCATATCTAATATTTGATGAGTCTGTGACCACTCAGTACACTCTACCCTCTTGCTGCTTCTAGAAGTTAATGATGCTGCACACTAAGGAGACAATGGTAAATCATGAATCACTTTGTATTTACAGATACACATGCATTTAAAACAGATTCTATAAATAGTTACAATACTGTATTGCACTTTTGGCCTACTTTTGCTTCTTTAGAGGTCAAGAGGGTTTTTTTTTAAATTCTTTTATTTGGATTGTTAAACAAGGTGAAAACTGGGATAGGTTGCCGCTAACACATACCATGCAGCTTGAGCCTTGGTGGCTAACTGTGCTATTACTGTGATTGATGAACATTGCGCTGCAATCAGCTGGAAGCTGCTGCCTTCCACTTAGCATAAACCAGGTCACAGAGCAGGGCTGGAGAATTGCCATCGAATAAACAGGTCTATTTGCCTGTCACCAGTAAAAGCGTTTGCCACTATTACATTTAACTCTTGATTCCCTCTGTTTTAAGGATGCCTGCTCCCTTGAACCAGCTCCTGAGTTTTACAGAATTCGACAGTTTTTAAATAAAATTTTCAGCCTTTGCAAGGCTATTCAGTAGGAGAGAAAAGATTATTTGATATATGTACTAAAAGATCCAGGGGTCATGAGGAGCTCAGTCTGAAATCCTTATACTGGGGTGCATGAATGTTACTATCCAGAAAAATAGTAGTTATCCCTGACTTGTATGGGACTTTACAGTGTAAAAAGCACAGCCAGAATGACTACTCTGTGAGACCATGTTCTTACATGGTCAGAGAAGCTGATCAAGTCACTAATCTAAAATGCCCCATTGCTGGAGCAGGGAGGCTGCTCAAAGGCCTGCTGGAAAGCTGGTAAGAATTGCCTGACAGAGGCAGGTGCAGGGAAAGCCAGTGCCTGGGCCTGAGAAGCACTGGGCATTTTTTCCTTAACCTCATGGGATCTGGTTGCCTGAAAGACTGAATCACTGGGCAATGTGTTAACAGATTAGAGAAAGGACGTAAGTCCTTTCTCTAGTGGACCAGAAATCTGTTGGCCTTGGGATTGAATCCTAATGTGGCTCTAACACTTGCTAGCTGTGTGATCTTGGCCAAGTCTTTTAACTTTTTTGGATCATAGTTTATCTATAAGAAATGTAGTACAGAATGTGGTGAAGAGCACAAATTTTGAAGCCTACCACCTGGGGTTGAATCCATTTTCTATCATTTACTCATTATATGATGTTAGGTAAGCTAAAGAATCTCTTTGTACCTTAATTTCCTCATCTTTTAATGAGTTTGATTATAGTGCCTCCGTCACAAAAATAGTGGGAAGATAAATTAGTACATGTAAAGTGCTTCAAACAATGCCCAGTACAGAGGAAGCGTGACATCACGCAATGACAATGTCATTGTTAGCTGCAATGTGACATTGGGGTGATAATCCTCAGGTCTCAGGTTTATTTTGCAGATCCACTGAAATCATGAAGGAAGGTGAAAAAGAATCAGAGTTATTAGTGCCAGAAGGGACGTTAAAGATTATCCAAATACCTCCCTCATTTTATAAGTGAAAAAACAAAACTCAGAGATGAGGAGTTAGTAACTGGTCCCAGCGTCACACTTGATTTAAGGGAGAGTCCAGGTCTCCTGATTCCAAGATCGAAGTTCCATCCTCTGCACTGCATCAGGGAAAGCACCATCACCATAGGGCTGTCTCCGGAGGGCCCTTTGATGTAGTCCTTGAACCTGTTGCTAGTTAATGTGCTTTTCTAGAACAATGAGCTGCATTTAAAATGAAGGGAAAGCTTGGGAGAGACTTTCCCTGCTCCTTCACTGACTTCTGAAGTGGCATGTTAGTGCAGGGGGAAACTGCAGATTCAGGCCAGAGTTGGGAGAAAGGATTTTCAGAAATTATCACTTAGTTCCATGTCATTGTTTCAGCTAAAAAACAAACGTGCAGTGTCCACAAACAAGCTAGAATCATGAGTTAATCCATTCAGTTTGTTTCTAGTGTCAGAGGATTTTGTGTATTTTGGTTTTTTTCTTCCACTGTTTAAGCGGCTTCCTCCGGGAGTCGTTTCACATCTGCTTTTTGGTGAAAACTAAGGTTTCACTCTCAGGAGAGTATGAGTTTGGGATTGAAACATTTGAATTTAGCTTCCCCATTTTTTTCAGGGTCATGTACCTCGCCCCCCGACTCTAGATTTATTCTGCTTTGAATCACATTTCCCAGTGGGACTACTTGGGAGTGACTGGAAGATGGGCTGGGAGAAAGGGCAGGATGAGGAAAAGACCCTATGGACGATGGCAAAAGGGACCAGAGCTATTTGACTTAGAGAAAAGGCAGATCCCAGGAATCATGATTTCTGTTTTCAAGTCCCCTAAGTGTGTCATGGGGCAGTGGGAGCAGACTCTGCGAGGTCTCTGACAGCAGAGCTAGTACAAAAATTGAGTGAGAAAAGGAAGAACTTTGAGGAGGCAGGTTTCAGCTTAAAACAAGGAAAACCTTCAGATTATGAGAGCTATCCAAAGATGGTGTGAATAATGAGCTCCCGTCCCTGGCCAGAGTGTGTGCTTTAGAGGAAGAGATTTCGGTTGTGAGGCCTGACAGCCACCTATCAGAGATAGGGATTGGAATTAGCTAGTCAGACCAGGTCAAATGTGGGCCACTACCAACTCTCAATTTTTTAGATTCTTGGAATTTAAGAGCTGGTGACTAATTTCATCGAGTTCCCATAGTTTAGAACCAGCTGGAAAGCAGCCACATCAGAAATTCATGACCTGTTTCTCTATCTTGCCTGTGTTTTTTTTTTTCTTTTTTTCTTCTTGCACTCCCTACCTTGCTCTTTCATATAGCAGGAACCTTTGACATTTTGCAGGGGATAATCTTTTCCTTTTAAGTGTGTTTCTGACTCAGCCTTTGGTCCTTTGGTATCATTAGAGAGCTCTCTGGAGATTAGCCCTGGCCTGTCACCACAGCAACTGCCCAGGCCCCGTGGGCATCTGCAGCGACAGACACAGGACTTTGAGAGCGAAGCTTGACTTGCAGTGTGAGGAAGCTCCACAGGGGAGCCTGATATGAAACAGGCATGTTGTGTAAGGGGAGCTTTTCTTTAATAGGATTACCTGTGCCAGTGGGCCTCACTTTACACAGTTGGCCAGTCCCTGAAAGGTATATGTGTGTCAGATTTTGGTAAATGAGGGAAATCTAAGAGATTCATCTTCCAAGTCCCTGTAGTGAATCCCCTTTGGAAAATGGCGTCTTCTTTTGTGAAGTGAATCTCCACCCATGTTGCAACCTGGATGTTAGTCTAGCGCTGAGTGTCTGTAAGTGGCCATCTGCAGAGAACCCCTGGGGCCTGCCTTCACCTCTGCTCCAGGCAAAGAACAGCAGCGACACAGCTGGCTTGGGGCTGGGGATGGACAGAATGTAACAGGGGAAGCAGAGTGGGTATAGGGCCACCATGAGGAGAGATCAGGAGGGTTTGCCTGGCCTAGCATGAGCAGCTCTGCTGCAGCAGTGGTGGGGTGTCTGAGAGACGGGTGTTCTTGGAGGCACCCAGCACGGAGGGGTCTGTGTCCAGCGAATCAGACATCTTGTCACAAATGGCATCCACCAGGCGCTCGAAGGCCTGCCTCACGCTGATATTCTCCTTGGCACTGGCTTCAAAGAAGTCAAACCCTGAGGAGAGGAGAGAGATACAGGTAAAAAATTTCCCCTTTCCCTTTCATGCCCTCTGGACAGAATGCTCTAGATTAATACAGGTAGTGCTCCAAGGTGAAGCAAGGAGGCCTAAATCCATGAGCAGAGAATTCTGCTTCAAGGAGATGGTACAGAGCAAGGATTACCTGCACCGGTTTTAGAATTGAACAGATCCTGGCTCTACCATTGACCTGCTGTGTAACCCCCAGAAAGTCACCTATTTTCTTCATGAATCGATGCCCTATGGATAGGGATGATTTTACCTACATCATAGAATTAGTTGAGGACTAAACAAGAAAATGAACGTAAAGTAAATAGCCCTGTACCTGACACAGAGGGGTCCCTAGATGCATTTCCTAATAGAATGAATACTTCTATATGTGTGCACAGTACTTCACAGTTTCCAAAGCATTTATCACATCCATTATATCATTAGATCTTCACGTCTCACCTGGGAGCAGGAAGAGGGTCCAACCAGACCTTCTCCACTTCACTAACGCAGACAGTGTGGCCTAGAGAAATAAGCTGACTTGCCCAAGATAAGCAGAGGTAACAGTATGAGAAGCCGAGGCTTTGGCCTTTTTGACCAGGGCTTTTCCTCCTTTCCCGTGCCTCCCACTCACCCTAGCCTGGCCAGCACTAGTGTAGGCTCTGGGAGTCAGCCCAGGATCCACACTGAATAAGCGAAGCTCTATTTGCCCTTCCCACCAACAGACACAATGGCTTACCTCCACTCGGTGGGGTTTCCCCTTCCTAAATGCCCCCCAGAATCTGTCCCTCCTGGCCACAGACCTCCAGAAAGACCCAGGGAAAACTACACCTAAAGCATGAGACATTCTTGTCTGTTTTGTACCTTGAGATCCTTAATGACACTTTCTGTGACAATGAACAGAACTTGGTTATATAAGGAAACACAAGAAAGGCCCTCCTGATTCAGACAAAGTGGCTGCTTCCCAACTGAGGAATCTTGGCCAGATTTGCGGCAGCCCTTGGAAGCATAAGCCACTTTCGCCATCATTTCCCTGCCCTAGCCTACTCCTTCTCCTTCTGTCTACCTCTTTCCCTTCCTTCCGAGTCTATCTTTATTTCCCCTCAAAAGCTTCTTTCTTCCTTTTTTTTTTTCATTTTAGCTCTTCTTTTTCCCTTATGTTCCTTGAACTCTCTCTTTGGGGTCTCTAATATTTATTGAACACCTACTAGATGCCAGATTCTATGGTAGGAGCTTTACAAATATCAATTTACTTAATCCTCACAGTAGCCTGTTGGGTGAATATAATCTTTTCCAATTTATAAATGACAAAATGAAGGTTCCAAGAGATTATATAATTCACAAAAGGTCACATGGCTTTATTAGTGAAAATTAGGTTTAGATCTGGGTTTGGCTGAGTCCCAAGTTCATACACATCCCAGTCTATTTTTTCCTCTTTCTCCCTTTCACTTAACTTCCCCCGTACCCTACCCCAGTCATATATTTTTTCTTCCTTTACAAGTATCTTTGGCCTCCTTGCTTTTATCTGGCTTCCAAAGTGTCTGATTCTGGGCAAGTCACTTCATCTCTCTGAATCACTTAACCTCTCTGAGTCTCAGACTCCCCAATTGTCAAATGGGAATTATAACACTGTCCTCCTGCTGAGAGCAGTGGGAGTATTGAGTGAGGTGATGGATAAACTACTACGCAAAAGTTGACTGTTATAATGACAGTTTCTTTCTGCTCTTCTTTTATCTGCATCTCTCATCTCTCTCTTTTTCATCTTGTCCCACAAAGGAGGGGGGTCTCTTTCCATCTCCCTCCTTCTCCCTAGTATTCCACTGTCCACAAAGAGGCTGAAGCTCCCAGGTACAAACAAGGCTCCCCTTCCCCCAGCCATCTCAGCTGGAAGGCACTCACAATTCCTGCCAGCCCACCTCCAGATGACGGCTCCTCCTGTGGCCCACTTCCCACCCTGAGAAAGGCCAGCTGCAGAAGTGCCAGCTAATTGCGGTATGAAATGAAGAAGGAGGCAGCTGCTGGCTTATTATTCCCAGGCCATAGAAACCTAGTCAGCTTCAGAGACCCTTCAGCATGTCGCTTTTCCTTACTGAATATCATAAAAATCGACTCTCTGGACTTTGGTTCATTACAAGTGACAGTGTTAGGGGAGGTGGTGGAGGTGTTGCTTGCCTAGGAAAGGGGCAAACAGATAAAGAAGTAAATAGGCTTAAACCATCAGTTTAGATGAACATGAGGACACAGGTCAAGGCCAGAGACACACATGCCTCCCAAGGAATTGGTACTGAGGGGAGAATATGCCACGTTGTGCAGGTGGGCAGTGGGAACAGGTCCAACTCTCAGACAGCCTGAATTTAAATATAGTCTCAGTTAACTACCAGCTGTGCAACTGTGGGCAGGTTGCCTAATCTCTCTCAGCCTGTTTTCTCACCTGTAGAGTGGGGTAAATATTACATACCTCATAGAGTGGTGAATGAAAATTAAATGCACAAATGTATGTGAAGTGATTGGCATGTGTAATACCAGGCAAATTCCCTTTCCCTTATATTTCCAGTCCACCTTGGTCCCAGCTTCCTTGCCCCTGCATTGCATCCTGGGGCCTTTGGGGAAACCCTCATTTTCTTCATCATTCATTGCCAATCAATAAGCCAGGTCTTTACTGAACACTGACTTTGTATCAGGTCTATATTGAGTGCCAGGGACAAAGGGACACCAAATGAAATTGTGGAGAAAAGACCCACTAACTTAAATGTCAATCTTCACAGGTGCAGAATCCAAAACGGCTCAGAAACCCAATTTTAAAACACCCTTGTGAGGGGCTGGGGTGAGACAAGGGTTAGCCCTTATAGTTTACAGATAGGGAAACCGAGACTTAGAGGTGGAGTATGAGCCAGGGCCCTATCCTTTACCCTCTTGTCTTGCTTTCAGTTGGAACAGTGACAGAACACACTATAACATTTCTAACCCACAGAGAGCAAACCAGAGGAATGCTTAGTGGGGGGAAGAGAGTGGCAGCAGAGGAGAGGGGAGGAAGCTTACAAAAGTTAGTGGGAATGGGAAACTTTAAGGCCAGTACTGAGCAAAACTCTTCACCTGCCTAACTTCTCATTCTTCAGGACTCAGCTTAGACAAGGCCTCTTCATTCTCCTCTGTGCTTCCCTCTGCCAAAACACACGTTCCCCTGCATGGAGAAATCCATTTGACAAAGAGCTCCCATGCAGGGTATTCATGTTATTCATCTGAGCCTCTGCACCAGCTAGAGTATGTGTTTGGTGAGTACTGGTTGAATGAATAGATGAATGAAGGAGGTGGGAATGAGCACGGAGGGTGTGAGTGAGGAGAGGTGGACAGTGGGGGTTGTAAGAACTCAGCTCAGTGAGCATGGCAGATCCTGTTCCGGGCACTGGGAACACTGAGGTGAACCAGACACAGTTCCTACCCTTGAGGAACTCCTTGTCTAGTTTGGAAGAGACATAGTGACAATATTATAGTGATAAATGCTGAGATGATGGGAAGCCAGAGGATTGTCAGGGCACAAAGGAGGTGCCTAAATGAAACTGGGGGCCAGGGAAGGCTTCTTAGAGAAGCTGATTCTTAAGAAAGTATCAGCTAAAGACATATTATTGGGCACATACATGTGCAGTACACCACACAGGGAAAAAAACATGAGCACAGATAACGAGGCAAAACACAGCCTTGGTGCCCTGACCAGTATGGGTCAGTTGGCTGGGCATCATCCTACAAAGTGAAAGGTGGCTTTCAGGGCACATGCCTAGGCTGCAGGTTTGGTCCCATAGTTGGGGCATGTATGAGAGGCAACTGATCAATATTCCTCTCTCACATTGATGTTTCTCTCCTTTTTCCCTCCCTTCTCCTCTCTCTAAACACACACACACACAGCCTTGGTATATCCTAGAAGGACTCTATGGTGATAGCAGTTTGTTATCACTGGAATAGAAAGCTCATCACTTCTTGGCCTTTTGGCTAAGACTGAGTATAGAGTAGAAACCTCAAAGTGGTGAGAAATGAAGTAGTATGTAGCCAAACATGAAGGGCTCATATGTCATGCCAAGAACATGTATCCACTGTCACCTCAAGGGTAACCAAGGTATGAGAACTCTGATTCCAAGTAACCAGCTTATGGGCCTAGCCCATTTGGAGTTTGCTGGCAGAACTCCAAATTCACTCCCCACCTAATTACTGCCAGTGTCCTAGAATGTTCTTCATTAGTAGGCTCGGATGATAACCTTTTCCTCAGGTTCATTAGTAAAGATTCTCAGGAACTAAGAATCTAGTGAGATCACAAAGATGACAACCAATTAATCAGACTAGCCTCCAGTCCTTTCCTCCTAATTGGCTTCATGACAAGGGGATTTTTTTCTGTCTTTAACGGGTCCTGATTCTTAACTGAATCTTACATGATTCCCTCCACCCCAAAATGACCATGTTTACCCACCCAGTCCACAGGCAGCCGTTACAGACCCACGGCACCGCAGACTGTGTCCGCACTGTCTGCTTCTGAATTTGACTTCAGAATTCTTTTCAGAAACTTACCTCTCCATCCTGACACTGCCCCGGGGCACTGCTCCTTCACTTATACGTTCAAATCCCTTCTCCATCCTGCTCTGATACCTCTTCATCTTCATGAAGATGAAGGAGTGTAAGTCTTCAACTCACTCCCCCCACCCCCAGTCACTGATGATTTTGGCGAGGGACTCACTGTCTTCCTCTCTACCCAATGTTGCTCTTATTCTCAGGAGCTTCGGGTTTCATGTGCACAATCCATCCAACACCCTGGCCTCTTAATTCCTTGGCCATCTAATTTCAGCAACCTTTTCTTCCATTCTGTTTCAGTTATGCCCCTGTTTTATAATATGAGCTATTTTGACTTGGATTTGTGTCAGTGGAACTGAGAGAGTTCTGATTAACATAATAGCCAGACTTGGCTTAACACCCATGACCCAGCCTCATCTTGCTGGGTCACACCATG